GACTGGGCTGGGGCGTGGCCGGACGATGGTGACCCTTCTCTGTTCGTGCTCAGCATGTTCGTGGAGAACGTGGTGCTAAAGGACCTGCAGACGACCTGATTCTACACGTCAGTCAAACTTTATTAATAGATTACAAACCAGCATTCTGACAACTGTCCCAGCATGCACCATGCGCTTCTTCTTCTACAGGCGAAAATGAAGTCGGCGGCTGCTTACTGTAATTGCTAGACCTGTTGTGGCTCAATATTGGTCCATATATAAAGTACACCGGATTATAAGGAGCACTGTCGGCTTTTGAGGAAATTGAAGGTTTTTAGGTGCGCCTTATAGTGCGTAAAATACGGTATATGTTAATTTGAGATATTAGTGGCATGATCTGTGTTATTCCGAAATCAGTACATATGACTAAAAATGAAGTGGAGAGTCTCACAAAGTTGCTCAAAGACTTAGATCTCTGAAGATTGAGTCAGAGATCAGGTTCAGATTCCTAGTTTTTGGATGTAATAAATAAATCATGTACCAGGCAGGCCATGATCCCGACTCCTCTGCATGTTCAGAGCACCCAGGTCCAGAGCCAGGTGCATTACAAACTGGAACAACCTATCTCTCACAGCATTCACCATCATGTGATCCTGGGTGTTCAATTTAGCAGGGCTACCTATCAGACCACGCAGCAAAGGGTCGATTCCACCTGGAGAGTGAGAGCAAAAGAAATGAGGGCTTCAACCTAAAGCACAATGACAAGATGGCTGCAGTTATTTCTGTGGGGCATACCTTCAAAAATGACTCTCCAGGGGGTGAAGAAAGCCTTGAACAGGGGGACACTGGGGAACTGAGGGTGCTCTCTGTAGTTTGGAGCCAGTCGGAACACAAGTGGCTGGATGGCCAGGTGAGCGAAACGGTAAGCAGCTGTCGCAAACACATTGGCGATGCTAGGGTCAACATTGGAGTTGTAGCCAGGGTAACATCCAAGCTGTCTGTGCATTGCGTCAGGACCCACAATGTGAGGAAGATAATCCCTGAAGACAAAAGTCTAATACACAAAAACCAGCATTTGAGTGAACAGCACAGGCTTTGAAGAAAATGAGACTCCTTGCTGACTCTTTGAGGTTGTTTACCTGGGTGTAAGCACCCATGATTTTGCGGGCCTCTTGGTAGAGAGTCTCACTGTCCCATTGTGGATTCAGCCTCTTCAGCTGACGAGCCAAACGGTTGTGTTCACGCACAAACAGGGTGTGGATAGAGGTCAGGGCGATGTTCTCATCCACGCGGCCATCACCTGCAGAGAAATACACCAACTGCTCAATTCCTGCTGACATTTTTACTTTTGGAGCCACCTTAAGAATATGACATGAGCTCCATCCAACTATTATATCCAACACACTTATCCCTAGTGGTGTCGCGAGTGGTGATGAGTGCCTATCCCGACGACGGATGAGACACAGGTCCGCCCTTTGATGGACAGGTTGCCAGTCCATCAAAGGGCATCACAGAGTGAAATAGGACAAACAATCATGCACACACACACACACACACACATCTACACCTACGGAGAGTTTAGAGAGAGACCAATTAACCTGATTAGTGATGTTTTTGGACTGTGGGAGGAAGCCAGAGTGTCCAGAGAGAACCTACTCATGCATAGTGAGGACATGCAGAGAGATCCCGGGCTGGGAATCGAACCCGGGACCTTCTTCCTACAAGGCAACAGTGCTACTAACTCTCCCACTCCCATGACATGAGCTGAAAATGACAATTTGTCGATCAGTCGTTTATTAATATTGAACATTGGCGATAACTGGATCTTGAAATATCCAGTAGCTGGGTTTGCTTTCAAAGCAAGTATTATCATGTTTATTCAATCATTCAACTCAGTTTTGCTTAGAAACTCACAAACCTGCAATAAAACAGGGCACCTCCCTGGCGTTGGTATCGTTGGTGACTCTTCTGCGGGTGGCGCACATTTGCACCTGCAGGGAGTGGAAGGGCAGCAGCTCGCGCCCGTTGTCTCTGAATTCGGTGTTGACGCGCAGCAGGCCGGAATCACTGGTGAGATCACGAAGGTTCAGGGCAAGCTTCTCATCTGAGCCATATACTTGTCCCAGATCCAGAAAGGCCGTCAGTGAATTGATCTGCTCCCTCTTGTTGGGTTCTCCACCAAAATTAAATGCAGAGTAACCAGTTCCACAGGCAGGAGCAGATCTAAAGGCTGGGATGCAGCTATCTGGACGGGAGGGAAGGCGGGGGTCTCCAGGAGGGATCTGATCGTTAGAAAAGCAAGAGTTTTAAGTAAAACAACAGAAAGGTGAAACAAAATTAAACAATTTGGTTTGAGCTTTGACACCAACCGGGATAGGGATGCATGGCTCACTGTGCTCGCAACTTTCGTCGCAGTTCAGCCCATTGCTAAAGGAGCGGATACTTGGTGAAAATGGTGTGAAGGAGAGGTCATGGTCATTCCACTGGCCAAAAAAGGTCACCATGTGAGCGTACTCTGTGTCATTGACAACGCCTGCATCTGTTGTGCTCAAGATGCTATTGGACACCTGCCGCACCTAAAAGTAGAGAGAAAATGATATACTCTATTTTTCGGACTACTTTTTCCCCACACTTTAAACCACGCAGCTTATAGCCCGATGTGGCTTTTTTGTGGATTTTTCTTCAACCACCAGGGGGCTCTTTAGCAGGAAGTGAATCATTGGAAGTCAAAATTGGAAATCAAAGAAGGAAGTGCTAATTTTAATTTGGAACAAGCACATGCTAGCAGCAGGCACGTCGGAGAAATGTTTTCAAACTCATAGCCCTCACCATGGAAACAACACGAAGAAGTTCATATGATGCAGCTTTTAAGTAGAAGATTATCGATCTGGCAGTACAGGGGGGAAATAGAGCCGCTGTACGTAAACTCAGCGTGAGCCAATCCATGGTAGGAGACGCAGGGCTGCGACCTTAATAGCAGATTTATTAAACCGAGAGCGGCGGAGATACCAGCGGCTTAAATACAGGTGCTGGTCATAAAATTAGAATATTGTGATAAAGTTCATTAATTTCCATAA